GGAACAGGAAATATCATCCTGAGAAACAGGCTACACACAGTAACATCTTCATATTGACGCAACAAGGAGGATGTAGCTATGTAGAAATGAAAAAGAAAGAAGCATTATTATAGTGACATGCGAAATATAGGAATCCTTAAAGAAATGCCAAACAGAGAGGAAGCATGACATTGTCGCAACAAAACACTACACATCACCCTGAAGAAAAAAAAAAAAACAGCGCAATGATCCGAAGGCGGAGCATCAGAAAGATGCAGGAATAGAAAGCATCATCATGAAAAAACTAAACGTAAAAGATCGTGATAAAGATGCAGCAGATAAAGGCATTTTCATGAGGATGCTGCGAAAGATGTCATCATAGACAGACCCTCCGAAAAAATTTCGTCAAAGGAATGCCACAGAGAGGTGTATTTTCATGAAAGAATAAAATTGAGAAATATATATAATGAAGCAAAACGAAACAACGCGCGTGCGACAGATATAACACATGAAGGGACCCCGCCAGAAGCTGTTCCACATGAAAGGACTTTGGCAAGGTTAAGCCACATGAAGCCACGTCCGGGAAAAATTAAGAAACATAAAAAGACGTGCGCGAAAGATTACGCCACGTGAAATGACGTTCGCGAAATTACTCCACGTGGCACGGCGTCCGTGAATGTACCCCACGTGAAACGACGTTTGCGAAATTACGCCACGTGAAGCCAACTTTGCGAAATTAGGCCACATGAACTCGCATATCTAGGGAAGTGGCACCATGAAAAAATACTCTCATAAAAATGCGGAAACATGAAAAGACACACTCATGGGAATGATACAACACGAAGCCGCATCCACTGGCACTATGCAGCATGGGTATGGATAGGCGAACAGGTTAGGATATGAATTAACACACTTATAAAAATGCAGAAACATGAAAAAGCATACAGAAGAACAATGCAACATGCAGGTTGATACTGGTGAAAATATCGAAACATCAAAAAACACACTGACAGGAAGCATGGGGCATGAGAATTCATTCACCAAAGTAAAATAATTATAAAAAGAGTCATATAAACACCACTGCCAACCATTTCACGCTCTGTCAATTGGATCTGCATATTTCTATTCCATTGCATTCATAGGAGTTTGCATAGGAAGGCATAAAGACATTTAAA